TGAGGACCTAGATGGCTCGGTCTTGATTCTGATGTCTTGAGTTTGATGCATGCGATGACTATCTTGGTCAAGTGTTTGAGTCAAGTCTATGTTGGTTGGTGAACAGAAAGGATTCCTCTTCCTTTACCCGATTTTGCTGCACTCGAATGTCCTTCGTGGTGGTTGTCTAGGTTGCTGTTGAGTTGTCCTTATGTCAATGATCAAAATCCAGTATGATTCACGTGTTCTGTGCCTATATGATTTGTCCCCCAAGTTTATAGGATTGAAATGTGTTGAGCTTACCTTGTATTTGACTTGGTTTGCTTGGGGACAAGTAAACGGTTATGTGTGGGGGAATTTGATGACTTGATATATACACATGTTTTTATCCACTATTCTTATGCTGCTTGAGCCTCATTTCTCGTATCTTAGGCCGATTTCACGCTAGGTTGTTCTCGTTTGTGTTATTTCAGGTCCTAATACGTGATTGGAGGTTTGGGAGCGAGTTTCGGCTCGATTGGACGAAAGTTGGACGTCTAGCGAGAAGCTAAGGAATCCACACGGCCAGACCTAGCAGCCACACGGCCGTGTGGAATCCCATTACGCGGGCAAGGCCACACTGGCCGTGTATTGGGCCCCTTGTGGCCGTGTGGAAATTCCAGGGAGCTCACACGCTCAGGCTAAGAATCCACACGACCGTGCACTTCTGGCCGTGCAGCGTGCATGAAGCTCATTAGATGGAACGTTGCGTTTTGGCACTCACACGGGAAGACTGGGAAACCACACGGTCGTGTGGCCTGGCCGTGTGGTCGGAAAATTCTGGGTTTTAATCGTATTTTGAGCCTAAGGAGAGAGGAATCGATTTTCCAGAGCAAAAACAGAGCCTTAGAGAGAGAAAGTGCAAAGAACACCCCCTAAAAGTGATTTTGGAGCTGGGTTTCATCAATCAAGCTTGGAAATTATCCTTGGAGTGAAGATATCATCCTAGAGCAGATTCTTCCCATCTTGATGAGTATGACTGCTTTGTTTGTTGTTTCCCTCACTCTCTCTATGGAGTAAAACCCTATCTCACTTGTGTATGAAAAACCTAGTTCTATGTGTTAGGGATCATTGTCGTAATGACGTTTGGATTATGATATTGTTTGATTATAATCGATTGAAGTGTTTTGATTGAGTCAATTGAAGCCTGATCATCTTTTATCGATTTCTGCTGCAACCTGAGATAGAATCTGATTAGGTTGTTAGAGCTTCTTCAATCGGTAGTAGTGAATTGATTATATGAGATTTAGTCGATTTACTGCTTTGTACTGGGATTCAGTTCCAATAGTGGAGTTCTGTGTTCATAGCCTCAGCTTTCTATCCCGGTGAAGGCTAGTCGTCTGCCGGGTAGTTTGACTGAGAGGGCTTGGTCAGTTTAAGAGATTCCAATCTACTGTCGGATCTTCCGCATTATAATCAACAGTAAAGCAACCAAAAGTAATTACAACTGTGACCTAACCAAGGAGCTAGGGGGACTCATTCCCGAGTGACTCTTCCCTTACTTTAGAAAACCGAACAATTTCCTGTTTTCTTACTGCTTTTAGTTCAAATCACAATCACTCAACTTAGTTTGCTAGATAATAAATAATCACGGAGTAGGCAGTAGATATAGACCCCGGGTTGACAAATAGAGCTTGCCACTTATTGCATTTCCATACTGCGATTACACTTGGTCGCAGTTTGGTGTTGTGTTTTCTCGTGTCAGTTCTGCAATAACACATAACACTAACTGCTAAATACTCGCTACCACTGACTACTACAAACTTCCACTAAGTAATTACAAGAATAAAATTCGACAGGCTGAATCCAATCCCAGGTTTCCCATTCTAGCCAATTCTATCAATTGTCGAACGGCTCGAACCACTTCAGTACACAAGACAGCCTTACCTCCATAGACTCTAGAACACCTTTCTCTCAAGATCATGCTTACAACTACATTCTAGACCATTCAACCCACTAGAGCATAGACTTGCTTCAATTTGAATTGCTGAATGACCCAGCTTAGATACTCACCATAACCAGCAAGGCTCGGACAAGATTTTTGAATCATCTGTAGGCAACCTTTCAGCACACTAAAGGAATAGGAACAATTGAAGAAGAGGTGGTCCCTAGTTTCTTGACCAGTAGAATAGAGAATACATGTATCATCAACTACCTTACCCCAGCTTTTAAGCTTATCCAAGGTTATAATCCTGTTTTTCACCACCAACCAACTGAGAAAACTATGGCGATGTATTGAAAACTTACACCATATGAGGTGAAACCAGCCCACCTGCGATAGTTGCAAATATCCCCACACAGTCTTTATAGAGTACTTGAGCATTCTCTTATTATTCCAGAAAACTTGTGTACCCCAGCAATTCAGAAAAGCTTCCACTTTTTCCCTGGCGTTCAGTAAGTGTTAACATATCCATGAACAGGTAGATCAAACAATTAGCTTACAAGGAGAAATTTGATTCTGGTGCGGGTTCACTTCAAGGTATTCTTGAATCCAACAGGAAGCTTTCAAGATGCTGTCATTCGCGATCATATGGATGAGATTTTCTCAATTGGTCTTCGGGAAAGTGGTCAATAATTTGGTAATATTTTTATGGTAGTCTTTTATTTCCCTCCACATGAATTATAGGAGTGTGAGAACCTCATGATTTTCACGTCTTGTATCTATAAAAAACCCTTGAGACAAAAGAATTTCCCACACGAGTATTGGTTCTATTTTTCGTGTGACGGATAAAAAAGATTATTCATTTTTTGCTAAACATGATATGTCTGGTTCGGAATATATCGAACCAGATTGCACGAATGTAATCTTATATGGACTAGTATATATTTACTGAATCTCTATTTGCCGCCCGTAGTTTTACTATTTGCCGCCCATGGTTACAAAAAATAAGACAATTTTGCCCCAGGTCTATTTTAAAACCCTAACCCTATACACCCTCAACCCTTCACCTCCCAACCCTCTCCCAATCTGCCGACCACAATCCTGCCGCCAACCCCCTCCCAAGCTGCCGATCAACCCTACCGCCGACATCTCCTCCCTCCTGCCAATCCGTCGCCGCCGCCGACCACTCCTCCCTCCTGCCGATCAGAAGTCGTCGCCGCCGAGCCCAGAAGTTGCCGCCGACGAGGACCCAGACCACAGCAGTGCCTTCCGACCTCCCCATCTCGCCGTCGAGCCCAGAAGCCGTCGTCGCCGAGTCTCCCTTGTTCGATCTCGCCGCTGCCGACCTCCTAAGCTCGCTCCAGGTAAACTTTTTTATTTTACTTTTGTCTTCACGCGGTCCGACTTGCCGGAGCGGACGCCGTCCGCCTCCCCTGGTCGGACAGGGTCCGATGGGTCTTGTCGGACCAGGTCCGCTGGGTCTAGTCGGACCGGGTCCGCTGGGTCTGGTCGAACCGGGTCCGCTGGGTCTGGTCGGACCATTCGAATTGGGTTTGACTGATTCGGTTTAATGAAATATTTATTAGATTTATTTTAAATTCAATTCTTAGTAACTTAATTAGTTTAATATTGATAGTTGAATAATTAGTATATAATTGTTAGTTGAATGATTAGTATATAAACGTTGGTTGAATAATTAGTATATAATTGTTGATTATATAATTAGTATATAATTTTTAATTATATAATGTGTTAGTTTATTAATTGGTTAAGTTGAAATAATTATTTAAATAACTATCTATCGTATTGAGTAAAGTAACTATCTAGTTAAATTAATTAGATAACCAAGTTGTATGTACCATAATTAGTAATTGATAAATTATGGCTATGAACAAATTTCTAATCAAATAATTTAATATAAGAGATTAATAAATAATTATTGACTATGCTAATAGATAATTTATTATAATAATTATCTTAATAATTATTGGATTAAATAAATTGTAAATAATTTTTAATTTTAAATAATTATCTATGATGTTTTAGTTAAGTGATTGAGTAAGTTGAAATAAATATTTAAATAACTATCTATCGTATTAAGTAAAATAACTATCTAGTTAAATTAATTAGATAACCAAATTGTATGTATCATAATTACTCTATGAAACAACAAGTAATTGCTCAACAAATAATTTATTATAAGATATTAATAGAAAATTATTGATTATGTTTAGAGATGGCGTCACCTGGTAATTCCGGAGGATCACGTAGTTCTGGAGGAGCTGGAAAGAGATTGAGAAGATTCATTGGGCACCTCATTAGCGCTAGTGCGAGAAATAGGGACCCAAATGATAGAGATGAGCCACAGCCACAGCGACTAGTGACACCGATGAGTTTGAGGGCCGACGGTTTTCCTCAGTTTGATTTTTAGATGCCTAGTAGGGCTGGTAGTGGAGCTGGTCCCAGTCGTGATCATGCTTCACCGTTTGAGCTTTCAGATGAGATTGATGACGAGTCGGAGGAGTATGAGTTGGATGTTGTTGAGTATCAAATTCCACCAGTCAGTCCGATCACAGACAGAGGTGCCCCTAGCGGATCGTCACATGTCGTTACTGGGGTTCATGTTGTTACTGGGATCTATAGAGACCATGTGGGGCGTTTCTATAGAGCTCCACAGCCTGGTGAGGGCCATAGTGGTACTGCTGATGTGGGAGAGGCCTGGGAGCCTAGAGGACCGTGTCCTGGAGGGCCGAGCGACCCGAGTTTGCTCCGTAGCTTTCTTGGGCATGTTTCCCACCGTCTGTACACTGGAGAGGCTGATAGAGGGGTGATCACTTGCTACGACAGGATTTCGACCCTTTGCCATGTTCTCGACGGTTATGTGATAGCAGATGATAACGCTAGGACTACCGTAGAGACATCGGGCCTTGCTCACCTCGTTGATATCACCTTCCAGAGCGAACTGGACCCTACTCTCATCTCGGCATTTGTGGAGAGGTGGCAGCCAGATACCGACACCTTCCACATGCCGTTTGGAGAGATGACTATCCTCCTTCACGACGTGGCACACATTCTTGGGCTTGCGGTTGAGGGAAAGGCGATGGTAGTGGATTCGAGGCAGTTGGAGAAGTGGGCACTGGAGACTGATATCCGAGCACTACTGGGATTAGATCGTGACGATTCTGAGTACGGGGCGCAGGTTGGCGAGGTTGCCAGTCTGTCTAGGTGGTACAGAGGATTTGGTTTGTTGGGTGTGGGAGCTTTGACTCATTTGCAGCAGTCTGGTCCGCCAGCTAGAGAGGCTCAGTGTTACCTTCTTTTGCTGCTTGGGTCCACACTGTTCGTAGATAAGAGTAAGGACCGCGTTTCTGCTATTTTCAACTTGTTTGTGAAGAGGCCGGATATGCTAGGAGAGTACGCGTGGGGGCAGGAGCACTTGCTTATCTGTATAAGCAGCTTGGTATTGCCTCCCGGGTGGAGGCTAAGGGAGTGGCGGGTTGTCTGACTTTACTACAGTGTTGGATTTACGACCACTTTCCTACCTTGAGGCCTAGTCGGTTGGAGCGACGAGAGCTGGAGCAGGGGCAGGCAGGAGCATTCAGGTGGCGCGGTACAGCACCCCAATCGACGAAGAAGAGGGATGCACAGATGCTGGCTTATTATCGGCAGGCGATTGATTGTTTGACCCCTCAGTCAGTTTGTTGGACTCCGTATGGTCAGAGTCCTCATCTGACGGTGAGACGTACCTTGTATCAGGGCCTGCTCAGATTTGCAGAGATAGTAGAGCCATATGATCCCACTAGGTGCCTCCGACAGTTAGGCTACGTGCAGAGTGTACCGTATCCCCCGGAGCGTCCGCTTGTTGTGCGTCGACCTGCTTCCACGCTTGGATACTCTCTTAGCTACCAGTCTGTTTATGATTCATGGTGGAACAACTTGGGGGCGCATAGTGTGCATCTGGACCTTTATTCTACTCCGGTACGACGTAAGCCATGGGAGTTTGCTGAGGATTACATGGGGTGGTACATTAGGCACTCACACCCACAGATACTGAGTGACAGCTGACCTCGTCACGACATCACGGATGTTGATACGGTTAGTATGATTGTATTTGAAATTATTTGTATTAAGTAAAATTTTGTTTGATTGTAACTAATATGTAATTACATTGTATGTTTTTTGTTTATAGTTGTCACGCGAGATGTGGATTGAGATATCTCCCGTGATGGATGCTGCACAGGGTAGTAGGGAGGAGTGGATGGCTAGCGCCAACGAGTTCTACGACTTATGTCATGGAGTTGGGAACATGTGGCCCGAGTTTAGGAGGAAGTCGGGTTTTCTACCACCTCCACAGTAGTTGTATGATTTTTATGTCATATGTATGAGTGTTATTTGTTGTTTTTAGACGAGTTGACTTATGTTATTTTGTTGTTCTACTACGACTTATGTTATGTGGTGTTCAGTTGCTTATTTGTTGTTTTGAGACTATGACTTATGACTTATGTTATTTGTTGTATCTGATTATGACTTATGTGGTTTATGTTGTATGTTTTTATTATATCATGTTTCCATGTGACGTAAACAAACTTCATTACAATTTATTTCAAGTGAAGACGTTCATTACAATTTATTTAAATTGAAGACGAGTACAAATTTATTTCTTTGGAACCCTCTTTTTGAGCGATGGAAAGCTATGAGTCCCACCCCCAAGATCGAACCACATTTGACTAAACGGCGCGAAATATGTATCCCATCCATCCACGCTTTCTTGGTGACCGCCTGGCCACATGCCATATAGAGGGGGCATCGGTATCTTGTCCGACGGGAAAGAGAGGTTGATCCAATGATCCTGTACGAAATGCAGAACAATGACTCCTCTAGGACTGGTTGCCCCAGATATGTTGTCCATTGGAAGAATGGTACAGTTGTACGCACTTGGTACTGACAAGAGGTAAGAGCTGTACATGACAACAGCCAAATTAAATAGTGTGGAAAATACGAATAGATCCACACCCATCATCCAATGACGATTTTTCATTGGTGCTGTAGTAGCGATGTCAATGCGTCTGATTGCCGCATTCACATCAGAACCGTAGATGGGTGCATATCGCCAATCGTGCTCACGGAGTTCTTCAGCAAGTAGTCGCCTCACCTCTAGGAACCCAATTTGATTACCATATAATGCAAAACTAAGTGCACGAAACCCACAATGACCGTCTGGCACCGGGTCGTGGACTTGGTACTAGTCGACTTTGTAGACCCCGACGTTGTGCTTCCCGACTTCTTTTTCATGTTTTTCTTCTTGTCTCGCAATATCTTTTCCCACCACCCTTTAGTTCTTCCAGTTGATTTTTTGGCTGGGCGTCCCTTTCGTGATTCGTTCACTTCTGGCTCGTGAATGTTGTCTTCCGCCGGGTGGAGACCGCGAAACACGTTCTTTGCTGCTTTTTTCGCTGCCTCTAGTCCTCTGCGTACAGCCTCATCAACCAACTCCTGAAGGTGACATTTAGCCTCCTCCTCCTGGGGCACGTACTCATGAGCATTGGGTGGATGCTCGTATGTCAGTGTACGCCAATATATATGAATATCACCTGGGTATATCTCTATGTCTCGCGATCTGCCATCCATAACTTGACATCCACACCCTCAAGTCGTGTGTCACAGAGAAATGACATGCACATCGGGAGTTCTCATTTTTTTCCAAGCGAGCCGCCAATTCTTCTTCAGCCTCCTTCATTAATATAATTGCCTGCATGCTGACTGCCCTTCTCAAGTATGTGAAAGGTGTACCACCGAATGCTAAAAGGGTTTTCTATCTAGATTTTTCCAACATCATCCTAACCTCCCCGAGTTGGTTAGTAATGTAGCGGTGGTTTCCTTTCCATACAGTGTCCATGGATCCCCGCGAGTTGTGGAGGAAAGTTTTCAAAGAGGAATGTGACGACTCAACCCTGTTTGTGCTCGTATTTCCTAGATGAAACACAATTTTTGTATGACAAACTTCCCACTTTTCTTGATGTTGCCACCACACTCCCTGTATGTATTGCAACAGACGTGGCTCGTGATTGCCCCATCTTGTCCTAAAACAGCCAAACGCGGCCAACATACCTTGTTCGGACCAAGAATAAAGCATAGGACACCAATATTGATCGTACGCCTCGTTGACCAAATCCATCATGTCCTTCCCAAATATTTCCAAACACTTCTTCTGCACATTGGTGTTGATGTGCCAAACACATAGCAAATGCGGGTTGCGGGGGAAGACCACAGAAACCGTAGCAAGTAGTCCACCTTCGTGGTCGGTGACGATGACAGTGGGCACGCGTGGATGGAGCAATTGTTGTATGCACTCCAACAGCCACATATATGACTCTTTTGTCTCATCCTTCATGAGAGCACAACAGATGTTGAAATTCTTCCCAACTGGAGTAGCACCTACGACCTCCACCCATGGCCATTTATATGCATTGGTCTTATACGTTGAGTCGATCAGAATCACGTACGGCCAAGCCTTCAACATCTGGATGGAAGTTGGATGGAAAAAAAAAAAGATGTGTAAGCACGTCGTTATCGTCCTTCATAACCTCTGTATGATAATTCTCACGTTCAGCTACTTGCAACGCATACTGCACTGCATTCATCTCGTCTTTCCTAGACTTGGACCCGAGGTTATACATCTGCCTTTGGGTGTGATGCCCTTTGTCACCCTTCTGCTTGTTTATTGTCTGCTTCTGTTGCGACGGAGGTACCCAGCATCTCTCATCTGCTTCAGAGATTCTTTATCCTCCTGACTCAATTTATTCATTTGACTGTGGCCCTCGGGATAAAGCATCTTCTCATGATTGTGATACCCTCGCCTTAAACCGGTTTCTTGCTCAATCACTGCTTGTATCTCCCATAATGAAAGTCCATCAAGAGCATCTGGATCAACCAGTAGTTCTTTGATTTTAACCTTGAACATGCATCCCGATCCTTTTGAACTTGTATTGCCACGACTCTCCTTGGAAGGATCCGGCTTGTATGACTTCCTCTCCCTACTGCATTTGTCGCAATACATATAACACATACTCAATACTCTATGTTGCGCAACTCACGTGGCTTCATCGATCCCTTAGTTACAAAGAAACCAAGAGACATCGCGATGTTTTTGGTCACTGTTACAGCATCTTCGAAATTTTCATATCGGACGCCATTGAGAAAATGGTCTGTGTAATCACCAATTAGTTCAACATTGTAAGCCATGTCCACCTGCAATTATGATTTCACAACTCGTTAGAAAGGTACAAATTATACGATTCTACAAAATTAAACTAAATTAATTAACTCTACAAAAAATAATTTGACGATAAGAAATTTAATTAAATATAAATTATTAAACCAAATTAGCTCTACAAATTAAATCTAAACACAATAAACTAATTACCGCTACAACAAAACACAATCACTTAATTAAACTAATTGTACTTCAATTTACTCTACAAAATTAAATTAAATGCAATAATTTAATTAAATCTAAAAATAATGATAATTTAACGATAAGAAAATTATTTAAATATAAATTATTAATCTTCTTTAGCTCTACGAATTAAATCTAAATACAATAAACTAATTAGCGCTACAACAAAACACAATCGCTTAATTAAACTAATGTGCTTCAATTGACTCTACAAAATTAAACTAAATGCAATAATTTAATTAACTCTAATAAATAACGATAATTTGACGGTAAAAAAATTATTTAAATATAAATTATTAATCTTATTTAGCTCTACGAATTAAATCTAAACACAATAAAATAATTAGCGCTACAATAAAACATAATCGCTTAATTAAACTAATTGTGCTTCAATTGACTCTACAAAATTAAACTAAATGCAATAATTTACTTAACTCTAAAAAATAACGATAATTTGACGGTAAGAAAATTATTTAATATAAATTACTAAATTTCTTAAGCTCTACGAATTAAACTAATTGTGCTTCAATTGACTCTGCAAAATTAAACTAAATGCAATAATTTAATTAACTCTAAAAAATAACGATAATTTAACGGTAAGAAACTTATTAGCGTTACAACAAAATACTATCGCTTAATTCAAACTACATATGAATTTAACTATGTAAAATATAAATAAAAGCAATAAATTAAATATAAATTATTAGCTCTAGAATTAATAATATGTCTCATTAAAAAAAAACTGCCTCCGGCGAGCGGACGGGCGAAAAAATCCAGGAGGAGGTCGGTCACGGGGTTTACCTGATTCGTTGGTCCGACGATGGGGCGTGCTGTCGTCCAGTGGCCGGCGAATTATGCTGACGAGATTGGCCTGGTGGCCGGCGACTTAGGCTGCCGTCCGGTGGCCGTGAATCTGGCTATGGTATTTGTGGGGGGTTGGTGGTCGGGACTCGGGTGGTGTGTATGTTGTTTAAAAAACCATTTCAGCGAATAGAATATAAAAAAAATTTAGAGGGAAAAATTATCTTTTTGTGTTTTTTACGGGCGGCAAATAATAATTACCCGGGCGGCAAATAGTAACCCTCTATATTTAATATGGTGATGGCCTATACTACATCATCTCGTCTGCAGCGGCGGATCCAGGACATAAGAGAGCACTGGGCCGTATTTGAATAGAATATTAGATACCATAAACAAAAATATATAATAATATAGTTTTCATTACAAGCCAAATGTACAAGAAGGTCTTTCAATTTAGAAAATTCATCAATAATATAATCTCCATCCATACTGATAATATACTCTTTTTCAAAGAAAATAGCTAAGTAATCAACGAGAAATTCATCGCTCATTTTGTTGCACAAATCAATGTTCATGTTCCATTGCTGAAAATATTGTCTTCATGGTAGTTGTTGAAACGGCTATGTCAACACTAGACAAATCAACCGACAAATCAACCGACAAATCAACCGACAAATCAATTTGTATTATGTGTACATCCCTGTTTCCTCCAGTTTCTCTAATAATTTTGCAAAAGAAGAAACTTCATCTTCCTCACATGAGTAGTGCATTCACCAAAGAATGCATCTCATAGCCTTCAAAGTCTCGAGGCTAAACTCTTGAGCAACTTTGTAAATATTTTCTTCATCAAAACACCAGAAAGAACGGTTAGAATCTAGTGTCCCACTCAATTGAGGCAATCTAAATGATGACTCAGCAAGTTTGTAAATATTTTCTTAATCAAAAGAATGGAAAGAAAACCAACTCGACGGCTGGCAGAGAAATCCATTTTGGGTCTGCTCGTCTCCTCGTTCTTGTTTTGTTTTGGGGGGATTGGGAATTTTTTTGAATTTTGCAAGGAAGGGTGTGCTTTAGTTTAGAGTTTTTTTATTTTATTTTAATGAAACTTTACACTTTTAGGTTTTCATGTCATTTTTCAAATAAAATCATTTAGGCTATAGAAAATTTAGTATAAATTTAGAGTAATGGTTTGGATATGTTCATCTGAACCATTTTCCTAGTTACACAAAATCCTATTATCAAATAAAACTAGACTGAATTTTAAATAGCACTGGGCCAAATACCTAAATCAAAAAATTTTATAAGCACTAAACTAATCTAGATCCGGAGGAGGGCTCGGAGCCTGGGTTGGCCCAGTCCTGGATCCGCCACTGCTCGTCTGAATCGTAAACCGTACATATGTTCTTGTCTAGATAAGATAGCGCACTGTTTTCCATCTCTGTGCAAAACCAAACAACTATAAATATGTTCTTGTCTAGATAAGATCGCGCACTGTTTTCCATCTCTGTGCAAAACCAAACAACTATAAATAACTAATTATATATTCTGCGGATCAACCTTTGAGAGATATACTAAATTAGATATTTTGAACAAGGGTAAAAGAGCTCGTGCATAGTAAAGTAAAGACCGACATGGAGCTCGTAGTTTGTGCTGGGTTTTTATATATTTTATATATATATATATATACATTTTTTTTTTTTTTGAGTGAGCAGGGTTTTTGTGAGCATCGTCGACACGCTCCCTTTCCTCTGAAGATCCAACCAAAAGACTAGAGAACAAATTATGGTCAGATTCTCTTCTCTTCAACAGCCCCAAGCAGCAAACAACCCACTTTCTTTCGTTCGTTCTTTCTTTCTTTCTACACCTTCGCACACTGCCACTTTCCCTTGTCCTTTTACACTATGCTGGATTGCACAGTCTCCACAAAGATTTTAACTGTGACTGAAATCTGAATGGTTCCAAAACCCTCTAATAACTAAATTAAGTTACTGGGTAGTAAGTTAAACACCGTCACTTAATAATATAAGCACTTATATCGGTCTTCCAAACAGCGGTACGTACCATGCATTAAATTAATATTAAACAAAACAAGGTTCAGTCGACTTTGTAACAGCTGCTCCAAACATGTTTTGCACATTACAGAGAGAAGTTGAATTGGATAAGCAGTAAACTTTCGACCAGTACTCTTTCTCCAACTCTGTTTCACTCTTACCACCAAAAACGAGAAAAGCCCAGAAGTCACGTGAATTTGATACGGTTAAAAAGGAGAAAAAAGGGATAATAATAAACAAAAGTTTTTGGCTTTTGTAAAAGCTATCAGTGGCATATTCCAATAAACTTCGATTCTCCCAAAAAAAGAGTTTTGCTGATATGAGAAATATGTTGCTTTTACAGTTTTACCACACACAAAAAAAAAAAAAAAAAGGTTGCTTCTCATTTGTGATGTGGCGGATCTAGAATTGTTATGTAGAGGTGTTCTTCTCCAAAATCTATTAAAAATTAAAAAATATACACCTAATACAAATTACATATTCTGAAAATATTATAAATTATGTTTAATGCCTTTATTTCGTGTTTTTGTTGAGCTTAATAAAATTGAACAATTCAACACAAAAACGTAATCTTATATTGATTTATGATAGATCAAACACATTGCATACTGCTGTTCAACTCGAAAAGATACTTTTACATAACTTGAATAAGTTGTAAAGTATTAATTTTATTCGAAAGATCATTACATTTCAGATAGGGATGTAAATACCCGACCCGTCTCTGACCTATCTCTGAGCCTATTTGACTCGTCCTGACTCCCGTCCCTGTCTGACCCTAAATGATTGGGACGAGTCGGGTCCGTGGGTCGAACTTAATTAACGCACTTTCTTTTTTTACAAATTATGTTTTAGTACCCAAAATTTAGTATGTAAACTTTTAAAATTTTACAAAAAGGTCCGATGTGGTATGGGATATTTGTTATTGCTAAGGATCACAGTTCACAGGGTTAAAAAGTGACTCCTTCCTAAGTTGTCCCTACTCGTCCCGACTCTTACAGAATCAACAAATGATTCGTCCCTAATTTGATCCTATAGACAAACTTACCTATCTCGACCCTCAAAGACGGACCATATTGTGATGGATCAGTAGGTCTTCCGGGTCAAACTTACACCCCTAGGAGTCATTTTAGATGTGGGATTTGAGCATAGGTGAACTCTTCACTGTTTATACCATTTTCCCTACATCCTCACATTCAATTGTAAAATTCATATAAAATGCAAATCCGACATCTAAACAACAAATTTTTCACTCGGCAATTTCTTCAAATTAATTAATTCCTCACTTTCCAAATAAAAAATTACATAAAGTTCTTCACTTTTCAAAATCTATACAAACAAACGAGCCCTGAAATGTATAAAATATGGGCAGAGCCACCAAACGGGGTAATAATAATGGTAAGTAAATCTAGGGTTGTCATTTCGGTTGCCGGTTAGCGTCTAACCGAAAATCGAAAAAAATGGGTGTCGGTCGGTCGTCAGAGGCGATCAGTGGTTAGGCAGTTAGCCAAAAAATCGACGTAGGTTAACCGGCTAACCGATGCTAACCGACCGACCTAAACGACGCCGTTTTTGCCTAACTAAAACATTCCGTCACCAACTAGCAGCCCTTCGTTCCTCCATCCTCCCTCAAACCCTCACAGTCGCGCAGCCACCCCACTCCCACACAGCACAGCAACGGCGACGATTCCGCCTCCCTCCAATCGCCCCGCCGCATCCTTCCGATCGCCGCGCCGCCCGCCTTCACTCCCCATATTGTATTTCCCAAGCACCACCTGCCGCATGCTGTCGTCGTCGACGGCCGCCGCGTCCATTGTTTTTTGCTTTGCTTTGTTCAAGTGATTGATAAAGAAGGAACTGTCGGTTTGATCAATGTTGATGAGAGAAGACTGAGTTGTGATTTGAGTGAACTCGTGAGCGAGTGAGGAGTGGATTGGAAATGTATTAGAGGGAGGGATGGAGTGGCCAATAGATTTGGTTGGATTGGTTGGAGAGGAGAGGAAGGGAAGGGAGGGGATGAGATTTGAAGCTGGGAGTCTCGGGCACCTGGAATAGGGCTGCCTCCGGTCGGTTTTGGTCAGTTACCGATCAGTTAGGTGGCTCCAATCGAACCGGCCTTCAAATTTTGGTTGTCCCGTTAAATCGCGTGGAAACCGAAAACCGACCGGTCGATTTGCGGCTAATCGAGGCTGAAGGGACGATCGGTCGACGAAAGTAGCTGTTCTTTTCTCGGTTTAACCAAAAACCGACGGACTGCCAGCCCTAACACTATGTTTGGGAAGGGGTGTAAATGGAAGGTGGTGCAAGTTTTGGGGGGGGGGGGGGGGGGGGGGGGGGGGTAAACACAAGTTGGTGTTTACCCCCGTTTGATTATTTTGTAACAGTAGGGGGGGTACAAAACGTGAGCGTAAATTCACTGTTTCGGCTTACCCCCCAAATTGGGGTGCGAGGGAAGGAAGGGAGGGGAAGGGGGAGGAGGGGAATTATGAATTTTTAATTAGATTATAATTATATAATACTTAATATTATTAATTTTTTATTATATCTATATTAGTGTAGAAGTTGTTTGGGGTTGACCGTTTGACTCAGAGAGCAAGTTTGTCAATGTTCGCCTCGTCAAATCGATATCTCTTAGTTGACCCGAATTTGCATTGAAAATTAGAGATGAGAAGCGTTTGTTGAAAAGATAGAGAGGAACAGTTTAGTTAACTCGATTTACTTTAATAAGTAGTTAAAACTTACAGATTCGAACGTGTTTGACTAAGTTTGACCATATTCAATTTAAAGTTAGGCACGAGAACCCCCTTAGGATGACCAGTTACGAGTTGGATTTCGAGTTTCGAGGTTGCTCGACCAATGATTATTATTGTTGTTATAAATAATTATATTTGAGCATTATTATATAATAATTATTTTTATTAAAAGTATTTTTATTTATTATTATTATATATTGAATTTTCATGTTATTATTTTGTGATAATATTTTATAAATTGATAAATCTATTTTATAATAATATAATTACTTACATTTTACTCTATTTGGACCCCTACTTTTTCATCCAAACAACAATTTATCCCTCCACTTACACTCTCCACCAAGTTGCACCCCCAACTTGCACCCCTCGAACTTGCACTCCCCTTGGTGCCAAACATAGTGTAAGTAAATCATACGGCCACAAGGCCGTTCGCGCCAAAACACCACGAAAAGCCCCATAATGCCCCCTTGCAAACCCTATAACCAAAGTACCACCAAACCGAGATCTTTCCTTCCCCACCCAGGGCATTACCGTCCATTCACCCTCCCACTGTAAAAAAAACCCCAAATGATCAACCCACTCCTCTCCCCTTTATATAAACACCACCCTCCTCAACCCTTTTACCTCCACAACCCTTCAGCTTCCACCAACCCAAACCCCAAAAAAATGGCTTCCCAACCCTCCTTCCTATACGCCGCCGTCCCCCTCCTCCTCCTCCTCCTCTCCCCTCCCACCCAATCCACCCCACCGCCGGCCCTCACGCTCACCATGGTCAACAACTGCCCCTTCACCGTCTACCCAGCCATCCAGCCCTCTGCCGGCTTCCCCATCCTCGAAAAGGGCGGCTTCCCCCTAACCACCCTCACCCACCGCTCCTTCCCCGCCCCGGCCCAACACTGGGCGGGCCGGATCTGGGCCCGCACCCACTGCACCCACTCCGGCAACACCTTCCACTGCGCCACCGGCGACTGCGGCGGCCGCCTCGAGTGCGACGGCCTCGGCGGCGCCACCCCAGCCACCTTAGTCCAGCTCACCCTCCACCACGGCGGCGACCTCTCCTCCTACGGCGTCTCCCTTGTCGACGGCTTCAACGTCCCCCTCACCGTCACCCCGCACGAGGGGCGGGGCCACTGCCCCGTCGTCGGCTGCAAGGCCGACCTCCTGCAGAGCTGCCCGGACAAGCTCAAGGTTAGATCTCACGGCGGCGGCTTGGTGGTGGGGTGCAGGAGCGGGTGCGAGGCGTTTGGGACGGACGAGCTGTGCTGCAGGAACCACTACAACAGCCCCGCCACGTGTCGCGCCTCCAGCTTCTCCGAGTTCTTCAAGCACGCCTGCCCGGCCACGTTTACTTACGCGCACGACACGCCCTCGCTCATGCACGACTGCTCTTCTCCACGCGAGCTTAAAGTCATCTTCTGCCACTGAAGAACAACCAACCAAAAAAAAAAAAATGTAACTCGGTAGTCTAGATTTGTAATGTTCTGTTTTTCTGCTCTGTTTTTTATTTTCCCCTGAAGATTCGGGTAGGTAGCTAGCTGGCATCCCTTTGTTCTGAAGGAAAGTTGTAATTCTCTACTTGGGATGCAATGTCTGTGGCGTTTGAGGTTCTGGTTAGTGATTAAGGAGTGGAGATGTTTGTGATGATTAATGAGGATTAGAAGGAAAGGAAGGATGGGGTTTGCTTGCTCTGTCGTTTTGTCTTTTTTGTTTCGTGCACTAGTTATTTCCTGATTAATAAACTAATTAAGTTAGGGACATGAAAAGACATGTTTGGGGTTTAGCGGGGTTTTTCAGGTTTACCTAGAAAGACGGTCGAAAGGAAAAGGTAAAGTTGCGTGGAAAGCAGAGAGAACCATTATCCTGCTCCTTCAGAGTACGCTACTGACTACACACGAGGTAAAAGAAGGTTATGCTGCCTTTTTTTTTTTAATCAAGTTGTTGTTTTGAGTGCTAAAGCTGAACGATGGATAAAAATTTAGGCTAATGTCTATTTTTTATCCAAATCTTTTTCAGATTCTTTTATAATATTTAAATCTATCGAAATATTAAGAATTAGTCAAATGTTCTTCTAGTTAGCAATTTTGTTAGTGATATTGACTTAGCAATATGATACTGACTTGGAAGAGACTCATGAAGGTTAACATTCCAAAATTTTAGTATTTTAACTAAGAAAAGAGTTACAAAATTATTAACGATAACATAAAAATGGCTAATATTTTGATGCATTATGAAAGATTTGGATAACTAATAGAATTTTAATAGGTTTGGATAATATAAAAGAATCTGAAAAAGATTTGGATAAAAAATAGACATTACCCAAAAATTTATGTATTATGAATTTTCTTTTTTTAATTGACTAGTCATGTTTCAAATTTTGTAAACCCCACACATTTTTATAACTCGTCTAACATATATATTCTTAAAAGAAAGTATTTTAGTATGCACGTAATCTTAATACTTGTATTATTGAAATACACTATTTTGTAATTCAAAGGCTCCAAATTAGGCTTAAACACAATGTTTCACTACCCTTGTAATCTTTAGAAATGCCCAACTTCCCACCTCAAAATCGAAGAAATCAATAACAGATATACTAATTTGAAAGGGAAAATGATTCGCTAGGAAGGAGTCCAACCTTTCAGAACGAAAAAGCACATTTGCTATTTTCCGCGTGCGTGACAGCGTGGCCAGGCCTGTCGGTTCGGATCGGGTAACCGAACCCAAAACCCGCAAAAATCTGAAAAACCGAACCCGGGTCACAACCCTAAACCGAACCCAAAATGTCCTTTGTGGGTTTCGAGTACTGGAACCCGAAAATTAGTCTGGCGGGTTCGGTTCGGGTGAACTCGAAACCGAACCAGCTTGAGTTTTTTTTTTTTACTTTTGTGATTTGAATTTTATATTCTTTTGCTTGTACAAACATTTTATTCTTATTATTTGTACATACTTATTTAACCATTATGTTTAATTTTATGGGACGTGGACAGTATAAAGCTAATATTTACATATTAGTTTATGGTGGCGTATTCGGTGCACCCACTTTTTTGGGTGCACTCAGTGCACCCGCCTCATAATTATCATCCTGAGCATGTGATTCATGTCAAAACGGTATCAATTGTTGCTTATGAATTATAAACAAGAAGCACATGAATTTGAAAAAAAAATCATTCAAAATTTACTTTAATTTGAAGGATTTAGGATTTAGGGATTTAGGGTTAGGGTTTAGGTTTACAATTTGGGATTTTGGGTTGGGATTCAAAATTGAAGGTTAACTGAGTGCACCCAAAAAAGTGAGTGCGCCGAAGTAGTCACTATTAGTTTATTATTAAAATATTAGTTAATTATTAAAATATTTAATTTTATGTATCCTATAACTATAGACATACTATTAACTATTAAAGAGTATTAGTAGTTTAGAGACAAAGTAAAATACTTAAACATATTTTACACGTAACTTAATCATATCTTATTTAATTGTGGATTTTCGTATAATTAAATGTTTTAGTAATACCATAGGTCCAAAATTGAAGGTATACCAACTATCATATGCAAAAAAATGTTTGGTGTTTGGCGCAAAATTATAAATAATTTTGTTCAACATAAAATACCAACAATCATAGATGAGATTATCTTCAACTCGTAATTAAACACATTAGTTTCACAATTCTCAAATGATAACATCCAAGTAAAATAAAAATTCATCCACCATACAAGATAAATACTACTACCATTATCACTCCTCATCAGGCTCTACATCTACATAAGTCTCATCATTCTCATCGGAATTGTTGTCGACATAGTCTTCTTCCACTTGTGACATAGTAGGACTCGGGACCAAAACATGGGTAGCAGGAGAGCTTCCACTAGGTCCTGCATGAGAGCTTCCACTAGGTCCTGCAGGTGCACTTGCACTCCGAGCTTGAAAAGCTGCATATACTGGATAACATAAACAATAACAACTTGTTAGAATATGACTTGATCAAGATAACACATATAAGAATAAAGAGAAAGATTGAGTCTTTACCATTTTGAAATACCACTTCATCACCCTGATCTTCTCCATCAGCCACCAACTCGAAGTCTGGAGATCTTATCCAATCTTCACAACAAATCAAAGCCTCCACAACTTCAGGGGATAAGGTCCTAAACGAATCTAAAACTTGACCTCCACCAAACAACTAGCCAATTGTTTTCCAATTTCACTTCCAAAATGTTTTGTAACTTGGACAAAGTTAATAATTATTTTATGCAATTTCCAATCGCTACCAATGAAATGAGCAGTAATGCACATATAATTGAGATTGGACAAAGAAGTCCAAGTATCAGTGGTGAGCGATACCATCCCAAAACACTTAGTCTTGAAATAGTCCTTCAGCAACTCTCAATTTTCAAAGAACACCTTGATACAATCCTCTCTAACGGTCTGACGACTAGGTAACACAAACATTGGACAAACACGAGCCATAAACCGTTTGAACCCTTCATGTTCAACATACCTAAATGGTAATTCATCTATGATAATCATCTCCGCTAAAGCTCTCCTAACATCAATCTGATCGAATTTCCAAGTCCCAAGAGTGTGTACCTGGCCTCAGGCCTCCAGAAGATGATAGATGATCGACTATCAGCTCACCCTTTTCTATCTTTTCCAAACAACTATCTTTATGATTCCGCAGAGTAGAAGTCCCATATCTAGTGGGAGCCATAAGAACACCATTGCAATAAATGCATCTTGCTTTGTCCACTCCATCCTTCTTAAAACGCTTGAAGTGTGGCCAAACGTCAGACTTTTCTTTCCTTTTTCTTGAAATTGTCTCCTCGTCTATTGTTTGAGCAGGAGGTACATTAGTGGTACCGGTAGACGGTGCAGGAGCAGGATTAGGATCGGAAGACGGTGCAGGAGCAGGAATGTTGGTACTCTTAGAGCGTCTTCCACGTCTAGGACGAGAAGCCGATGGTGCCTCACTTCCCTTATCAAAATGAAAAGTTGAGTGTTATGGAGGTTACATTAATTCCTGGGGTATGTTCATGTTGAAACAGCAACAGCATCAGTGAAAGATATAAAATATATTGGTCAGGAGAACAAACCCATACAAAAGTGAAAGATAATATATTCACATACATAAGCAACACTGCAGGTTGCAGTGCAAGGAACTTGAAAACCCACTAATAGCCTCCAAAACAGGCTAATAGCTTTTAAAACCCAGACTTCCATTACAAGAAACAGATGCAGCTGAAGCAATGAAAACGCTTAGCTTAGTGAATAGACTACCATTCATTTACCCACAACTGTTGGTTCCAGCTGCAAGTAGGAATAACCAATCATTATTTGAGGTATGTATCAGAGCAACAAAAGACAGAAGTAGTCTAGCTAATAAGAAGCAATCAACTCGAGATTAATGACTGGAATTGGCAGTCTCATACATATATCTTGATTACCATGAGTCCCCTGCACCAACGTTACATTAAAGGAGCTCATCACTACACAAAGAAACTTTATTCCTGAACGAGTAACTTAGCACGCTTGAAGCATTTGGGAATTCTCATTGTTGGAAAACGTGAATACAAGTTACAACTATGCACTTAAGCTTGACATCAAAATCCCCAAAAAATTTCACCCTCAAAACCTAGAGAGGCCAAAACCCAAGAAATAGTCATATATCCATATCGACAAGCTCTTCTTTACAATTCATCACCTCTAGATCAAGCAACATTGTCACCGCCTATGCATGGGTTGACAATGAAACCAACATCAGGAGAGTTCTCAATCCTATGCAAATCAGAAGCTTGAATTGGGTGTCGCCAATTCTTCTTCCTCTGTGGACGACGACAACATTACATCCCGATTGTTGAAACTGAATTCCCCTTTTTGAAACGAGAACAGAGCAGACCCTTTTTGAAACTGAATTCCCAATTACACTCTGCTTCCAGAACAACAGGCAGGGGAAACGAGAACAGAGCACTGAACACAGAAAGTAAAGGGAAACGAGAACATAGCAGACCCATGGCGAAGAGACTCACTGGGATTCCATGGCGAAGTGCGAACTGCAAAGGGGTGGCGTCTCCTTTGTCGAAGCTTCAAAGGGCTTGAGACCTGCAAAAATTAAAACTCAAAACGATGAAGCCATGAGAGGAATCGACGAAGACAGGGAACTCTAAAACCATATCGGAAAAGGGTTGCGATACCCAGATGCGCCGGCGTCGACCCCCGACGGGGGAAGCTTCGATCTTGAACGAATGGATGAGTTCGCCGGCGACGGGGGAGTCTCTGACTGCGCTGCAGGGTAGGGTTGGCGCTGCAGGGTAGGGTTGCTACCGATCGTCGAGTGTGTGGCGAATGGCGATGCCGCGCGCGTCGCGATGCTCACAGGCCACAGCTCAATTGTCGAAGCGAAAGATCCCTACAAAAAAACGTCACATAGGAACTAAGCAACATTCGGTTTTTCGGGTTCCCTCTCGGGTTTCGGGTTTATGAAACCGAAACCAATATGTAAATTCTCGGGTTGAAACCGAAAATACTGAACCTGCAGACACTTGCTGGCGGTTCGGGTTAAACCGAAAACCCGAAATCGTTTTGACAGTCCTAAGCGTGAGTGCAGATATTTTCTCACGGACAAACTAGTTTGTTTACCATATATGCTTCATTATTTGTTAGCTTTCAATCTTTTAGGTTACCATAATTGCTAATGAGGTTTTAGTAGTCAGGTTAATGCGCCTAGGGTTCTAAACTAGTATTTTATTTTTACCAATATGAAACAATTGAACCAGTGTAGATATAACATACCACACCAATTTATGCGGTACACTTTGATTTTACAATGCTTGCTTAAAACACTATAGGAAGAATTAGTGCCCCCAAGACGCAAGTAAAGAAGAAAAAGTAGGTCTCTAGATTTGAGAAAATGAATGGGTTTGTACAAAGAATAGTGGATTGAAGCAATAATAAAGGGTCAATGTTATTAAGACACCTGTCAAAATAGACAACACAATGAAGCCAATCTGTCCTGCTTATGTATAATCATGTTTAGGCCTCCGGAACACCACAAAGTGAAAGAGTTCCTAATAAAAAAGAAGTTTTTTTTTTGTAATTGGCACGTGTTTTCTTAAACCACCCATAAGAGTCAAGATTTTTAAGCAGGGCTGGCAATTTGGTCTAGAATTGTTTGGTTTTACCCGAAACCGGACCGTATAACCCGGACTGGGACCGGACTGGGACCGAATAGCAAACAATCTAATCTCATATTTAGGCTTAGATTTGAGGTAAAAAAAACCCGGATAAAGACCAGATAAGAGACCTCAACACTCAAATCCCCACAAGCTCAATCTAAAATCAAAATCAAATTGGGACCGGACCGGGTCAAGACCGGACCGGATCAAGACCGGATTGTATCCAATCCAATCTTTGGTCTTTATATTCTCGAAAAGACCGGACTGGAACCAGATCAATTTGGTCCTATTTAACCGGACCGTACCGTATAGCCACCCCTATTTTTAAGGTTTGCCTAGAAAAGCAATCAAAATTCAAAAGGAAAAGGTAAAGTTGCCTGCAAAGACAGAGAACCATTATCCTGCTCCTTCTGACACAACACATAAGTTCAAAAAGTTTATTGGGAGCGTTAAAAATGGAGTATTTATTTATTTTAATAGTTATTTATTAGTCAAATCTATTTCGGATTCTTTTGTATCAGTCAAATCTATCAAAATATGAATCCATGTTCCCGAAGGAAAGTTGGAAAATGGAGGGGAGGGGAGGGGAAAGGAATTATGAGTGGAGGGACACTTTGGAGGTTAAGGAAATTGGAAGAAAATTTGTGTTTTATGAAAAAAAGTGGAAAGAAAAATGTATATTGAGAATTTTGATAGATATGTTATTTTATTGGGTATATAATAGTAAAGTAATTTAATTATATGTTGATATTATTTTTATTGGTTATGAATTGTGAATTAAATTTGTACTTTCTTACTAATTTTGTTCACTATTAAAAATCAAAAGTAGATAGTTTGAATTTTTTTATAAACCTATTGTTAAAATCTTATTCGCTATTTTATTGATTCATCAACATAACAACTAAAAACATAAACACACAACAAACCACACTACACATACACAAATATGTCAAAAACAAGGTCCTAATAATGCTAGACACATATAAATTCGTCCAATATATAGTGACACATATAAATCCATCCACCAACGACTACAGTGCGAGATGAGAGCAGTGTTACCAAGACCAGCACCTATGGTGAATGGATGATGGCCATGCCCCGTGGCAGAGGGGTAAGGAATAGGAAGGAGGCTCTTGACAAGGCCGACGAGGGGAGGCAGGATAACATCACAACGGTGGTCTGTAATCCAGCTACGGGCTCACGTTTTGATGTGCTCATGGATGAAGATGACAACACCATGAATGATTCAAGCACGGGCCATGTCGGGGCTCAACAAACTGAGGTAGAAAGGAAAGACAAAGGGAGTGCGGGAGAATCGGGTACTGAAGGGGTTCCCATCAATCCGTCAGAGACACAAACTAAGACCGCCAATCTTGTGGTGCATCTAGCTGAACTGCCTGCGGGAGCTGAGCAAAGCACCGTGCTTCGTAGCAGGACAAATGATCATAGGGAGGGCGGTGCAGCCCCGACTTTGAGCACAAAAGGCAATTTAAAGAAAGGAGGGCATCAACATAAGGAGCCTATGGAACGACGGAATGATGGAGACAAAAACAAGAAACAAAATCAACCTTAAAAGATGGTCATTGCATCGGAAAAGGAGTACCAAAGTGGGACGTCAAAGCCAATCAGGGATACTAAAAATGGCGCGGGGAGCCTATCCCCTTACGGTCATAAATGAAGCTATTGAGCTATAACTGCCGCAGGCTGGGGAATACGCGGTCAGTTAATGCCCTCAAAGCGCTTTTGTGCCGGTCATCCCTGGATGTTGTGTTTTTTTATGGAAACAAAGCAAACATGTGCGGAGAACGCGACGCTACGTGGAATTTGTGGGTATGTGCATGGTGAAAGCCACTAGGCGGTGATCTCTTCTAGAAGTCGGGCCGGTGGTATTAGTGTATGGTAGAAGGAGAAGTTAGCCTCACTATGATGGACCTAGACCTTCATTTTATTGATACGGCTATTGAAGAGGAAATGGTGGGTAAATGTCGCTTCACTGGCCTCTATGGATGGACGGATGGGAGTGACAAGTGACGAACGTGGGAAATTATGAGATCACTGAGTACCCAATGGGACGGACCGTGGCTGTGTGGGGGAGACTTCAACCAAGTCTTGTCGACAGCAGAAAAAAGCGGAGGCCGAGGCGCCCAGGAATAGAGATGAGTCATTTCAGTGACCATCTTATCGATGTAGGCTGCCATGATCTGGGTTTTGTTGGATACCCGTTTACTTGGGATAATAGACGAACGAGAGGAGGATACATTGAAGAACGACTGGATATATTTGTAGCTAATGAGAAATGGAGCGAGTGTTTTCCAAATGGAAGGGTTCTGCATGGGGAGCGGACACACTCGGATCACCGACCCATCCTCTGTGAAACGAGAGGAGAGGAGGACGAGGACATCAAATGGGGATGGTCTTTTCGTTTTGAGCCACTATAGACAAAACATAAGGAATGCTTGGAGGTGATCGATCGTGCGTGGAAGAAGTTCCCGCATATAAATATTCTCGACAAGTTTGAGCAATGCCGAAAAGAACTGGATTGCAGGAGTCGGCAGGCTTTCCCAACGTTTGGAAAGCAAAAGAAGAGGATTCGCCGGGCAATAAGAGCACTTGAGAGACGTGAAAAGACGGCGGAGGTGCTGGCTCAACTTCGACTGTTGGAAGACGAAATGGCGGATGTGCTCGATAGCAACGAGAAAAAAGCTGGAAACAAAGGTCCCGAGCAGATTGGTTGAGATCAGGGGACAAGAATACTAACTTTTTTCATCGCAAAGCATCAGCCCGCCGGAAAAGAAACATGATCAGGAAGATTAAGAATGAGGCAGGGCGATGGTTTGTGGGACAAAATGAAGTGTCCTCGTGCATGGTAGACTACTACCAGACCCTCTTCACTGCTGGTCCGGCGCCTGATCGCTGGCCGGTTTTGGATTCAATCCCTTGCAAGCTACAGGAAGAAGACAATGAGGAGTTGATGCGACCGTTCACGAAGGAGGAAGTGTGGCCGGCTTTGAAGCAAATGGGCTGTCGTAAGGCACCAGGATCGGACGGACTTTCCGCTTTTTTCTTCAGGAAATACCGGTCTATTGCGGGTGACGAGGTTACTAGAGCAGTTCTGCAAATTCTGGACACATGTGCGATGCCGGAGGGACTTAACCATACACTGATCACGCTCATCCCCAAAACCAAACAACTAGTTTCTCCTAAAGACTTTCGTCCGATTAGTCTTTGCAATGTCCTATACAAAATTGTGTCGAAGGTTTTAGCCAACCGTCTTAAGCCGCTATTGGATAAGATCATATCACTAGCTCAGAGTGCTTTTATCCCTGGGCGCTTCATCACAGACAATATCATGGCAACGTCGAGTGTTTCCACACTATGAAAGGGAGAAAACGATGGAAACGTGGCTACTTTGCCGCTAAGATTGACATGGCGAAGTCTTATGACAGGGTGGAGTGACATTTTCTTGAAGGCGTTATGAGAAGAATGGGTTTTGCCGACCGTTGGATACAACTCGTTATGATGGGCGTTACTACCGTGTCGTACTCTGTTCTGCTGAATGGTCATCGATCCCATACTTTCACTCCGAGCAGAGGGATACGGCAGGGCGATCCGTTATCACCTTATCTCTTCCTGCTTTGTGTGGAGGGATTGTCAGCCTATACAGCCAAGGCAGTGGAGGAAAAACGGCTACATGGGCTGCAGGTGAATCGGGGAGTCCCGGTGATTCCCATCTTTTTTCACTAACGATAGTATCTTTTTTGCCAGGGCTACTCAGGAGGAATTTCTTGTGCGAAAAAATATACTTCATGCTTATGAGCTTGAGTCCTGACAGATGGTCAATTTCCAGAAATCGAAAGTCTCTTTCTCGGCGAATGAGAAGCCCCACAGCAAGCTCATCACCAGCGGAATACTCCAGATGAGGTCAGTGTACAAGCACCAAAAATATTAGGGGCTGGTCACGGAGGTGGGATGGGCCAAAAAGGACCTATTTGCGGGATTGAAAGAACGGGTAAGACAAAAGCTGAAAGGATGGAAGGAAAAAACTATGTCAGTAGCAGCTCGGGAAATTCTCATCAAGTCAGTTGCCCAAGCCCAGCTTAACTACGCTATGACGATGTTCAAGATACCTGATGGAATTATAGACAAGATCGATAGTATGATCACGAGCTTTTGGTGGGGACAGAAGAATGCTGAGAGGCGATCGCACTGGATTCGCCGTGAGGAGTTGGTTACTATGAAAGAGGATGGCGGGATGGGCTTTTGCGACCTTAGAGGTTTCAACAGAGCCCTACTCACGAAACAACTATGGTCCCTACACCAACGATCGATATCTCTCATTGCCAAGATCATAGCTGCCAAGTACCATAAGAATTGTTCTATATTGGAAGCTCGGCTGGGAAGCAAACCAAGCTACAAGTGGAGAAGTTTGCTCAGTGCACAAGACTTTCTGTGTGCCGGCCTTCGTTGGCGAGTGGGTAATGGTGCCAAAGTGCAGATTTGGGGGGGGGGGGACCAGTGACTCCCTACAGAACCAGCTTTCGTCCCCTCAGCCCCAAGACATCTCCCGGTGGATGCAATAGTTCGAGACCTTATCAACCCCGCAACGAAAAGCTGGGACCTTGATTTGCTTCATAATTGCTTTTCCGATCCGACTATGCATATTATAGTGGCCATCCCTCTTCGGGGGAGTGAGGAGCTAGATCGCCTCGTATGGCATCATAGTGATGATGGCCGCTATTCTGTTAAGAGTGGGTACAAGCAATGGCTAGCGGGTTTTATGCAGGAGGAGGGGATTGGTCCACGGGGTGATGAGAAATTCTGGAAGGCTATTTGGACCATGAAAGTCCCTCCCAAAGTTCGTCATTTTTTGTGGAAGTTCTCCAGAGATATTCTCCCAACAGGAGTGAAAGTGGTTACAAAGAACCCACAACGGAGTGATGAATGCCCGTTCTGCGACCAAAAGGAAACCCAACACCATTTGTTCCTCGAGTGCAGTTGGAGCAGCGGGATATGGAGAGGATCACCATGGGAAAGCGCGTTTACTGTGCATGGATCGTCGGACTGCATAAGAGCTCGGACGTGGCGGAATCGTGGGCTATGGTACTATGGGCGATATGGAAGGAACGAAATGCACAACTATTTAACGACCCCAAATGGCCTGAGGGCGAGATTTTACAGCGTGCACTTTCAATTCTTGATGACTACAGGAAGAACCAAGGCCCGAGGGAGTAGTACCGGTCGACGCAAAGGCGGAACGTTGGGAGAGACCGGCGGAAGGGTGGATCAAGATCAATACGGATGCCGGACTTTTGGCTAATAATGGGATAGGCGTGGGAGCAGTTTATCGAGACCATCAGTGGCGCTTTTTCTCTGCGGCAACGAAGATGGTTCGTGGTTCCTTTGGAGTGGAAATGGCAAAAGCGCTGGTGGCAGAGTTCGGAGTCTAATTAGCGCACCAGCTGGGTTTCCATCGCTTTCACCTTGAAGTTGACAGCTTGACGTTGGTTGAGAAAGTAGTGCATGCTCAGGATGTGCAGACCGAGATTGGAGTAATCTGTAGGCGGATTTTTCGTCTTCTACAGGAGCAGACCGTTCCCGGGAAGTGTTAAACATGTAAGGCGATCGGGGAATAATTCAGCACATATCATGGCTCACAACAAGACTAGTTGGGATAGCAGAGAAGTGTGGCTTGATAATCCACCTACTTTCCTTGTTGATCAGCTACGACTGGATGATGTAACTCCGATTAATTGAATTACAGGTTACCCGTAAAAAAATAAAATATAAAGTGACTCGCTAATATTGAATATACACAAATCTACACATAATATAATACACCGAAGGGAAAAACGGGAGCCCCATTTCAAATTTCCTGCAACGCGAGTGAAAGTAGGAAGGACATTTTGGTCTTCACAATGACTTTTTTTTATTCATTAAAAAGGGACGTACTGGGATTCGAACCATGACCATTTTAAAGAAAAACAAGGATCATAACCAATCACACTAAGTACATTTGTTGTATCTTTTTAAACTAAAAACATACAATAACATGGAGGAAAAAACTCTTCCCCCATTCCAAATTCCATGCTCCATGAGCGTTTGTAGGAAGGGTAGAATAAGGAGTGTCAATTTTTTTTCTCTTTCCTCTATGGAACGGGCCAACTTACCGTACACATGCGCATTTAAATGGGTCCTGGAGTGTCAATTTTTTTCTTTAAGCCCTTTTATTTCTCAGTGGTGATAAAGTATATATGAAAAGGCAAAAACAATACTCCTTTTTATTGCTAAAAAAAATTTAACAATAAACTAATGCATGGTATCTGATGGGCTAACCGCTAACCATAAAATAAAAGAGTTAAATGGGTTTGACCTACACGGGATTTGGCCATCAAGTAAAACAAATGAACATCATTGGTTTGTCATTCTAAAACAAGCTATTTTCTCTGGTATAATATATATCATGCTATTATTTTATATCTTAGTAGCTAAAATATAATATATTTTAAAGTTATTCAATGGTTCAACCTCGACCAACCCAATCATTTCAAATATATATTATATAATTATTTGATATCATAATGACAAAATAATAGTGTATTTTATAGGGAATCGTTTGGTATTTGTAAGTAAAAAACTAAACAGAAAGATCTATTTGGTTATTTTAAACATTAAAACGATCCTAAACATTTTCAGTTCCTTTTGAATTTCTATGGTTTTATTCTCGAATAAGTGTTGTGCAAATGGCGAATTGCAGTCATCTCTTTTCTTTCACTAATTTAATATCAAATAGAAATTTTTTAAAAGTAAAGAATAATTAGAATTTGGCATGGGTCGGTCAAACAGGCTGAATTTCAAGTTTTGGCCCGTTTTGATCAAGTCTAATTTATAATCACATGGTTCCCTGATACCCGATAAAAATCTCAATCCAAACCAGTTTGGCAGGTGAGTCCGTGTTTACCACAATATTCTAGGGATACAACAACTGCGGTTCCTATCCCAACTCGTGTTGTTCGTTCTTGATTTTCTTAGATTTTATCATGGCCTGCCAAAAACTGGAAAGCACAATGACGACAAGATGAAAGTTTTATAAAGCAGAGTAATCGGCCAACGGGCCGAGTAAAAGCAAGCAACGATTGTGAGATGCTCATTTCCCGAAAACCGACGGGATAGGCGATTTTTTATTCGATTTTCTGGAATTTGGTTTCTATAAAACTTACTCCACCTCATCATATTACCAGAAACAATATTGTTTCACAAGGTAACAGGTACTTGATTTTAGTTCATAAGGCCGATTTTTTATTCGTTGCATCATTCATGTCTCTTTCCTGCTAAAATTCACTATTTTTATCCGGTGTTTCCCAAAAAATAATAATGCATTTTATAGGGAATCATTTGGTATTTGTAAGTAAAAAACTAAACAGAAAGATCTATTTGGTTATTTTAAACATTAAAACGATCCTAAATATTTTCAGTTCCTTTTGAATTTCTATGGTTTTATTCCCCAATAAGTGATGTGCAATTGACGAATTGCAGTCATCTCTTTTCTTTCACTATTTTTTATTTTCAAATAGAAAGTTTAAAAGTAAAGACTAATTAGAATTTGGCATGGGCCGGTCAAACATGCTGAATTTCAAGTTTTGACCCGTTTTGATCAAGTCTAATTTATAATCACATGGTTCCCTGATACCTGATAAAAATCTCAATCCAAACCAATTTGGCAAGTGAGACTGTGTTTACCACCATTTTCTAGGGATACAACAATTGCGGTTCCTATCCCAAATCGTGTTGTTCGTTCTTGATTTTCTTAGATTTTATCATGGCTTGAAAAAAACTGGAAAGCACAATGACGACAAGATGAAAGTTTTATAAAGCAAATTAATCGGCCAACGGGTCGAGTAAAAGCTAGCAACGATTGTGAGATGCTCATTTCCCGAAAACCGATGGGATATGCGATTTTTTATTCGATTTTCTGGAATTTGGTTTCTATAAAACTTACTCCACCTCATCATATTACCATAAACAATATTGTTTCACAAGGTAACAGGTACTTGATTTTGGTTCATAAGGCCGATTTTTGATTCGTTGCATCATTCATGTATCTTTCCTGCTAAAATTCACTATTTTTATCACGTGTTTCCCAAAAAATTATAGTGTGTTTTATAGGGAATCGTTTGGTATTTGTAAGTAAAAAACTAAATAGAAAGATCTATTCGGTTATTTTAAACATTAAAACGATCCTAAACATTTTCAGTTCCTTTTGAATTTCTATGGTTTTATTCCCAAATAATTGATGTGCAAATGGCGAATTGCAGTCATCTCTTTTCTTTCAAAATTTTTTATTTTCAAATAGAAAGTTTAAAAGTAATGACTAATTAGAATTTGGCATGGGTCGGTCAAACAGGCTGAATTTCAAGTTTTGGCCTGTTTTGATCAAATCTAATTTATAATCACATGGTTCCCTGATACCCGATAAAAATCTCAATCCAAACCAGTTTGGCAGGTGAGTATGCGTTTACCACCATTTTCTAGGAATACAACAACTGCGGTTCCTATCCCAAATCGTGTTGTTCGTTCTTGATTTTTTTAGATTTTATCATGGTCTGACAAAAACTGGAAAGCACAATGACGACAAGATGAATGTTTTATAAAGCAAATTAATCGGCCAACGGGCCGAGTAAAAGCTAGCAACGATTGTGAGATGCTCATTTCCCGAAAACTGACGGGATATGGGATTATTTATTCGATTTTCTGGAATTTGGTTTCTATAAAACTTACTCCACCCCATCATATTACCAGAAACAATATTGTTTCACAAG